ACTTCATTAATGGAGCACCCATCTCATGGTCATCCAAGAAGCAAACGGTCGTTGCTCTGTCCAGCTGCGAAGCCGAGTATGTCGCAGGTTGCTATGTTGCTTGCCAAGGAGTTTGGCTTGAAGAATTATTGTCTGAGCTGAGAATTGTTTTGGAGGAACCTGTGGAGCTGAGAATGGACAAAACTTCGGCCCATAAACCTTGGGCCCCAGGAATCCTGGAAGCCACGGAGGAGCAAACACATTGAAGTGAAATTTCACTTATGAGTGATGTTTGTTAACAGGAAAGATCAGTTGACATACTGCAAGACTTTGAACCATTGGCAGATCTATGTACCAAGTCTTTACATTGATAAGTTGTGGAATATGCGATCAAAAATTGGAAAATGGTGTCCTTTGAGGAATTGAATTAAGGGAGGAGAGGGTTAGTCGGTTGTAATTCAAACCTCTTTCAGTTTTAGTTAGTTTCTGTGTAGTTGCTCTGTTTCTGTATAAACCTGCTGCATGCCTATATATTCCATGCAGACGTCTCTGTAAAACTCTAGTTTTTGCTTTATCTTTCTCTTTGCAAACCCTCTGTGTTTTGTGTCATTTACGTATGTTCCAATAATATTTTCACTATGAGTTTAGTTTTAGGCTTTTTAACCATACTAGTTAGTATATTTTTCTGAAGTTAGGAAATTATTATTTTTTAAATAAAAATGCAACAACTTGATATATAGGTTGATAATGATGATAATACTAAAAGTTATGTTTAATTAAATTTTAATTCTCAAATTTGAGTATTTTCAATATAGGTGGTATTAACTTTGTGTGTGTTGAATACTTAAAAGTTGATATTTATTCGTGTGTCAAGAAATTACTTTCTTACTTCACGAATGTTTCTATGATAATAAATTGTTTAATAAAAATTATTGATAAAATTTGTTGATAAATTAATTTTTTTATTGATAAATTTTTCTATCAAATAATAGATTTATAGGTAAATTTGTGATAAAACTTCTCTGTATTTATAATTTTTATTTCTAAATTCCCCGGTAAAAGAAATGTGAAAGTTTATGTTTTCATTTCGTGATAAAAATATATTTATAATTGAACATTTAAAAGTTTGTTTCATGTCACGTCTCATTTATTACTGTGATGAGTCACCACTGTGCTTCCATAAATGCACCCATGTCCCACGTGCATGCCATAAAACGCACTACACGTTCCCTGACCCCTCTATGCTTTCAAATGGAAAGTTTTGACTCAAGTCTGGAAGCAGGTGTCAGCGCAATGAGGGAACGTCCGTTGATTGGGAAGAGGAATTAAAATTTTTCTGGAAACACTCTTCCATTTCTGCGTGCACTTTCATTTCCTCAAAAACTTCAAGAACTCCATTCTCCTCCTTCTCTATAGAACCCCTTTTCTCTCTTCGGTACTTACACCTTTTACTCCGTTCACGTTTCAGCACCGTAGAAACGTCCCCTGCACCGTGAGCTCCATATTGGACCGAACAACTTCCGGTTCTGGTAAGTTTACACTTGAACGCTCTTTTCTGGAATCCTGCAAACCAGTTCTGTCTGCATGCATGGGTCTAAACCGAGCTCTTTATGTTTCTTTTAGTTTTAGTAGAAGAGTTCAGAGAAAAGGTGATTTAGATTTAGAACCCCATATTTGGACAAGCCAAGACACTCGTTTTAGAACGATCACTATGATCCGGTAAGGGACGCTTTAAGGGAGCTTATATTAAGTTTAATTCTTGTAAATTTACTGTGATGTATGATTGGTTAAGAAAGGAAACAAATTTTGTTTTTTTTTTTAACATGTTTTGTATGAGCGTTCTGGAAAATTAGTATGCATATGATGTTTGATATTTGATTTTGAAAGTATATGGTATGATCTGAATTGATGCATGGCAATGATGAAAATATGTTATGTTTGATTAAATTGAAAATGAGGTAATGATTGAGATGATGTATGAGGAGTATGATTTGTACTATGATATGAGTGATTTAATGTATGAAAGTATACTGAAAAATATGGTTACTGTATGTAGAATTTGAACATGAAAATCTTATGAAAATGAACGTTCGTTATCGAAACAGTCTTTAACCGTTCGGTATTCGTAGTAAATTCCTTGAAGTAGTCGAACCCTTTCATTGGAAGGATTATCCTTGAGGACGAACGGCCCTCTTATATATAGTTACGTTTGAGCGTTCGGCCAGACATAAACATCATGAGTGTTGTATGAGAATTTCAGAAGCCTGAAATATCCCTTTGAACTATTAGTCAAATTATTAAAACATAAACTTTAAGTATCTCATCTTATATAAATTCCAAATTTTTATGATTTTGAATCAGCGAATAGCCTCGACCTAAAAGCGTACGTCCTAAGTGGCGCTCGGTCTTATACCGAATGCTCGTCCCAAAAAGTAAGTTAAGTAGCGTCGAGTCTTGTACCGAAACGTTCGTTCCTTCCGTATTTTAACGAACAGAAATAGCGTTCGTCCTAATTTTCATAGCGTTCGTCCATAACCTCAAAATCACGTTCGTCCTAAACTTCAGTAAAATTGTGTACCGCGTTCGGTCATTTACTGGCAGGCGCTTATTCCAACTAAATTGTACTTAGTACATTTAGTACTCGTATTTTATCTTCATTCAACTTTAATGAATCTGACATCTTGCGAGGTGAAGTATTCTAAGTATAATTTTGAATTGTTCTAGGATCGTTATTTAACTGATTCAAACTTTTACTAACGTTGTCATGGAAAGAAAGAAGAGAGAGTCGCTTTATTCCTTCAGAAAAGAAGTTTCTTCGGTCTCGCCTCTTGACGTTCGTCCCCGTTTTGAAGCGGGATTGAACGTTCGTCTTTTTTATGCAAGTTTTGGGGGGGACCTCGAATGAAAATGTATTTTAAGAGGTAAGAAATTAAGTGTTGCGAAACACTATCAAGAGTTGAAATTGTTGATTGTGTTTTTTGAACGAGCGTGCCAGGGGGATTTTGGGGGTGATATGGAACTGGAACGACTCTTGAATGGAAATTGAGATTTTTAAGTATGAACGTGGTAAGCTTAGATGGTGGTTCATCCTGATATTCCGTGAGTGCTCGTTCTCAAGTAGAAGGAGTAGGTCACGCGGTGAGAAGGGCAGGCCCGGTAGTCAGAACTGTTATAACTGGGACAGAACCGACTAACTCAGGTGGCTACTGATGAGCATTCCAGTTACCCCACCTGAGTGCCGGAGCCTTAACACACAGGGGATTCATACAGTCCGGACGGTCGGTCTAGTATCAGGATTGGATGGAATTAATGTATGAATTGAGTGTATATGTTGTGAATTACTTGCTGAATTTGATAAGTATGAAATATATGTTTGACTTGAATTAAATTCAATAAGCTTACCCTTGCGTTTCCATTGTGTTGTCTGTATATGTGTATCCGTCTTTCCTTGCAATGATCATCCGTGTGGATGTGAGCAGAAGGAGATGCGTCTCTGGAGCAAACCCTTGAAGAAGAAATCATAGCTGAAGAAAAGAAAATCTCGTAGACGTGAAGTGAAGGCCGAACAGTAGGTCGTTCGGTTTTAGTTAGTGTAATTAGAATAGTGGGCCGCTGTGGAAGGCGAGCGCTCTTTTGTTGATTGTAAATACTTGGACGTTCCGTGTTTTATTTTTGTAGACCGTTCGTCCTCGTCGTTTTGTAAACGCTTGCGGATTCTTATATGTATATATATCAGGCGTTCGGCACTTTCGAAATTTCTGCTCCCTTTATTGTAAACTGCTTTATCATATTTAATACATGTTAATATTCTATTATATAGTTGCTGACTGTATAAATTTTGGGATGTTACAGTTCACAATGATTTTTTTCTTAAATCTATCATTAAAATATATACCAAATTGTTCGTCATATTCAGTGAAATATTTGATGTAAATTTCTGGGAGACAAATGAGAAAAAGAAAAGACTAAGAAGAGAAAGATATAATAACATATAATAACAGAAACCACAACATTAATAAGGAGGTCAAGATAACATTGATGAAGAAAAAAATCACGATATAGATATTTATCGGTAGGTAAATTATTAACGGATTATTCCATTTATAATAAAATTTATCGAAATAATATTTTATTAACATTTTTTTATTATTAATATTTTTTATTATTTAATATTTAAGTTTAGGATTTAAAATTTAAAATATCATAATATCTATCAATAAATAATTTGAATGAATTTTTCTGATTTATTGTTAAAATTTAGTGACGATGATTCTATCATACATATATATATCTCAAATCTTTTACTTCCCAATAGGACATAGTAATGGGTTAATTTTTCTGTTATATTTAAAAAATTCTAATTGACCAAGATTTGGAATAAACTTACTAGCCTATTTGTTAAGAATTGTTGTAAGGATTTATCTTGTGAAATTATAATCCTATCTTAACATTTTGAAAGTGTAGGGTAGGTGTTAAAATTTTCAAAGTTGATAACAGATATTTTTTGTAATCTGTTCTCAAAAGGTGTGAACCATAAAGGCATATGTGAGAAAGAAGGGTTTAAGTCGAAAATAATGCTGAAAAAAGTAGACAAAGGAAAAAATATCACCAAAAGAATGTATGAATGAAAAAACCTCTTTTTGCTGAAAAAAAAAATCAAGAAAAAGAAAGAGAAAAAGGGAAAGGAAGAAGTGAGAAAGTAAGAAAAAAATGTTAGAAAGGTCAAAGGAGACTATATAATAAATTTAGAGTTGACGAAAGTAAGAATCCTTTCTCATTGAGTCACTTATGGTAGAATTATATTTCGTAGTGAAGTTTGTAAAGACAGATAATGTAGTAGTTGTAAACGTACTCTGCTAAAATTCTGCATAAAATTTAAACAATCTTCAAATATTTTATCGACACATATTTGGTAGTATCTGACTGAGCCCAAAAAAGCCAAATTACAACCCTGCTACTGCATTTGCCAATAAATTCTTTTCTAACAATCTCCTTTCCTTTATAAGATGCAGCATTCTTTGCTAGTGTCCGTTTCTGAGTCCCTGGTTTCTACCATTTTCAGAACTTGCTCTAGCTGAATAACCAAAACAACAGATAAATAAATGCAAATTTTCAGACTTACACCATTAAATCCAAATGTCCACAAAGTCAAAAAGTAATATCCAAAAAACGAATATTTCTTTGAAAGGATGCACTACCAGAGGACTGGGGAGAGGACTGGCAGAGTCACCAGTGGAGTTCTGACCCTTTTGATTAAAAGCTGGGCTTCACTGATTTAGGATCCAAGTGCAGAAGTGATGCTCAATAAAATTTCAAAACAACGAATTTTTTTAGATATCAACTCTCTCCAATATCTTTAATTTTCAGGGTTGAAAAAAAAATCAGAAATAATAGCATCACAGAGAAAAAAAAGCCCCTTTTAGAAAAACTTTTTCTCTTTTTCAAAACATTGTCATGTCTAGTTCTGGAAGGAAAAGTGGGCAACTTTGAAATAACAAAATGAGGATTATAAATTGATAGTTAGTGTAATATGCCAATCTTTTGTTCTTTTATGGAAAATTAATGGCTTGATGCCTAGCAATCAGTTTTTGTTCAAAATATAGAAATTTTAGAATTTGTTTTAGCTTTATCAGGATAACGAGTTTCGCTTCGTTCTTAGAACCAGAAGTCTAATATAACATCTTACAAATATTATAAGAAGGTTAGATATTCGACTTTAAATCTAATTCAATATCATGATTGTACGATTATATACTTTGAATTCTATAGTAATTTGGGATTCCAACAGAAAATCTAGCTTAAGCACCAAATCAGTTTTTTCTAGAATAGTTTTCAAAATAAATGTTTTTTCGTTTTGGAAAAAAAGAATAACAACTAGAAAATTCTTTCTCATCTTGTTTTTTTCTGTATTCATCTTATTCAAGCTCTCCTTCAATCTCACTCTCTGTACCAACACCATTTTTCACAGTCTGTCTGAAAAGAAAAATCAAACATACCCTTAAAACTCCTTTTTCCCTCTTAATGACATATTATGGTCAACTTATGAATGATAATACCATTAATCATATTATATTAATTAACCAGGCTTTATAATTCATTGCATAGAAAATGAACACGACACGTAAGTTGTGTTCTTTAAGGAAATGGAAAGCTTGATTTGGACATACCAGGACACTGGGAGAGATTATCAGGTGTTTTGCAAAGAGAGGGGAGACCAACAGCAATTGTAATATTAATCTTCAAGCCAAGGTCAGGATCATCCCTGTCTTTGAGAATAACGCAGATGCACTTCTTGTTGCTCTTCAAGGCTTGTGTGAGACCACTGCAACAATCTGCTGTTGGTGCTCTTCCCTCACCACCCAAATATGGCAGACACGTTGCAACCCCTGTCAGTGATTCTGCACATTTCTGTTTCTCTTGAGCTGACTCCCCCTTTGCATGCATAACCAACACCAATGTTATTGCTAACACTAGCATGTGTGGCGGTGCAGCTCTGGAATACATTTTCAATTCAGATGAATGAATGAGTGGGTTAGAGACGCTTATATAGACTTATAGTTATAGGGATATGAAAAAAAGATTTATGATTAATACACACAACAGGGTTATAGGGTAGAATTTTTAAGTTTAGTGCTACTACATATGAAATGTCTTGTTCATGAGTGATTTATCAGATGGTTTGTACTGTATGTTGATGGGTATTGCAAAATATAAGAGATATGAGAAATTATATATTATATATATATATATATATATATATATATATGTGACATGAACCTAAAATCTCAGATAATAAACGTGTAAGGTTGATGGGTATTCCCACCAAATGGAAACTGAGAAGAAAAAATATTCTAAGGTTGCAATGTGAACTCACAGAAGCATTCAACTTGTAGACTAGTATCTGAATCATCCATATTGTATAAGCAGTTGTCCACTACCAGTTTATTTTATTGCCACGTAATTAGGCCTTTTGAGACAATAATCACATGCACAATTTTTTACATGTTTTTATCTTCCAAGTACATCTTTCCAACACTACGAGTTGAAGCCTTTCATTTATACTTCACTCCTTGATATTTATTTCTGACAAGAATCTCTTAAGTGTTCACTTTGCTAAGAAAAGGTGGAAGGTCCAATACAAAATGCTGCCATCAAATTTGAGAAAGAATAACCATGGGAAATGAAAAAAATATATGTAAGTTAGATACATACGTGATAGACAAAAGCAGTGTTAAACCAATTGAAAGTTTTACGAGAAAGTTAAATGTTAGACAATTACAAACAGAAAGGAACTGCTCTTGCTGGGTTGCGTTGAACATTGAACAAGCATTTGAACTTATTTGGTGAAAAATTCTTTTTTAGGTTTGTGTTTATAGAAGAACAATGAAATAGGTTTATTTCACTGTTCCTTGTACAAAACTTAAGAAATGAAAATAAAGTAACATCTTGCAGTTAAAAGTGAAGACATTTGTTCTTCTAATATGAATAAAGGAAAAACATGCATAAAGATTCCAAAATTCCTCGCCAACTTTCCATGTTTGGTCCCCACACCACACCCAGAATGACCTAGTCCATCGTATCAATGTTTTTTCTTAAATATTATTATGGTTAGTTTGAAAAATAAACCACACTAGGGATCTATTAAAACTTTTTTTAATTAATCCAATCACATTTTTTTTGGTAATCATTTTAAAACTATATTTAGAAAAACTTTATTAATTAATAATCTAAAGATTACACTAACATAACAGCATTATTGATGTTATATGGCCATTAAACTCTTTTTATAATTTGTTTGTAATTTGATTTTTTAAGTTATAACGGATGTTTAATTTATTTATATAAATCACTGGTATCTTTTTACAAGTCATCTAAAACCACAATAAAAAATTACTGATTAAGTGGTAGTAGTTGGAATATTGCCATTGCTTTATCGACTACAATGTGCTACAATGGGCAAGTGGAGCTTGCACATAATTTGTCTGCATAGCTTTCACACCAGTCACCAAAAGGTGAGTTGCAGTTTATGTAGAAAAAAAATCATGAAATCCATAACTGGAAACAAAAAGAAGTTCACCAAAATGGAAAGCAGTTGAGTAGAAGCATTATAAGTTGAAAATGTGAGGAGCAAGAATTCCACTGATTAAAATACTTATGCTACTTGCAATTAAATGGGTTGGTACATGAGTTTTTGTGGCACCCATTACATATGCACCACTAAGTCAATTTCTACCGCAGCATTTGGAATTATGTGAGATTTTCAGACACCAAACAAACGGTTGTTATATATATATATATATATATATATATATATATATATATATATCCAATATTGTACCTTGAAATTCGATTTCTTTCCACCATAATAAAAGGACAAAAGTTGAAGACCGAGTTCTTTGACGTAGAATCCAAAGTTACCAAACCAGTATAAAACATTGACAGACATCTGATTGCAAGTTTGTATTAATGGTTTAATAGACCAATTTAGTCCCCACTTTGGTTGAAAAAATCTCAATTTAGCTCCCCGTTATAAAAAGTGTTTTCAAATTAGTCCTTAACTTTTAAAATAGTGGAATCAGATTCGTCCCTTTCGTTAAATATAGTTACCGAAATTAACGGATGATGATGTGACACAGCTTACAGCTGAGGTTAGATTGGCCCTCGTTGCCTTTTTTAAGTTGTGTCACATCATCTCCATTAAGTCTGTTAACTTATATTACAGCAAGGACCAATCGGACCCACTATTTTAAAAATTAGACTATTTCAAAAAACACTTGTATAACGAGGGACTAAATTGAGATTTTTCAACCAAAGTGAGGACTAAATTGGCTATTAAACCTTGTATAATTTACGGCAGTGTCCACTGTTGTCTTAATCATTGTCTTAATAACATTTCTTACAAGTTATGTTCAAGGATTTTACACGTATTCTTCATGTTTTGTTTAAACTGAATATAATACATGCGTTCAGTTAAAAGTTTTATATCAATTAAAATAAAAATTCTAATAATTTATATATATATAAAGAATTTAAATTATATAAACAATGTATATTACAGTTAAACTTAAAATTTTCTTCTTAACATAGTATCGATAACATGAATTAGATTTATTTTAGTGTATTTTTGTTTGTGCTCAATTTACTGCTATTGATTATTGATGGGATTATCCGAGTGATATCTAGTCTAAAGATTTACAGAATCAAAATTCCGATGCGGTCCTAATCTTGACTAATTAAAAATACAATAATCCGCATATTATCAAAATAAACTTCAACTTTGATTGAATATCAGCCAACCAGTTACTAACTTTCTCTACATTTTGCTACAAAATAAAGTAGTACATAGTAATGGATGCCCGGTTAGACACTTTTTAATCTTAAATGACTCATATTCTAGATCATATACATCACTACACAAGTCTGCAACCACATTAGTGGTACAAAATTTCACTTGCAAACCCTTCTATGATTATAGCCTTTAGTACTAAATTCCAAGCACGAAAACTGTGGTTCAGTTACTATTGCTCATGGAATGTCATATGAACTCTATTTTTTCTTGATTTTGTTGACAACACTCCACTTTTTAAAGAAAGCTATGTAGCAGGAGCTCAATAAGTTGCAGATGAGAAAGACAAAGAATGGCATCTGCTCAGCTTCAAGCGATGGACTAGCAGACCCTTCAAAAACACGGCTTTCATCTATGGTTGAAGAAGAAGATGAATTGTTGTTCATGGGCAGGGTTCGCTGCACAATTCACTGAGTCAAGTCTGGAACTCAATCTTACCATTGTGAGCTTCCTATAGGGAATTGAGTGGTGGATAGTCCTTCCTGCTTTGGAACTAAAATCTTTGACTCGTTTGATTGAGTTCAAATTAGTTTGTTTTACTCCAATACAAGCTTCCTAGGCTCAATGAAGAGTCTTGATACTTGGACCTTAGCTCTTAAGTTGGGTTCATGGGACTAATCCCTCACCAACTAGGAAATCTATCAAACCTGCAGCACACTTAATCTTGGATACAATATGCTCTCAGATAGATAATTCTTATAATTGGATATCAAGGCTTTCTTCCTTGGAATACCTGATTTGATGTATTGTAGACCTTCACAAGAAGCTGATTGGCTTCAAGTACTGAGTGCACTTTTTCCTTCTCTTTCAGAACTACACTTAGAGAACTGTCAAATGATAACTTGGGACCCCATAAAGGAAAAACCAACTTACAAATCTCAAGTCCTTGATCTTTCAAAATCTAATCTGAATCAGGAAATCCCTTCATGGTTATCCAATCTCAGTACAACTCTTGTCCAAATTGATTTACACAGTAACCTTTTACATGGAGAAATCCCACAAATATTGTCAAGCCCTCAAAACATAAAAATTCTAGACCTCCATGACAACGAACTCGGTGGTGGCACTTCCTAATTCATTAGTCAGCTCAAGAATCTTGAAGTTCTAGATCTCAGTAATAATACCTTTATTTGTTCCATTTCCAGCATCATTTGCAAACTATCATCCTTGAGGGACTTTGAACCTGGCTCACAACCGATGGAATGGGACCATTCCTAAGAGTTTTAGGCTCCTCCAAAAGCTGCAGATTTAAACCTTGGAGCTAATTCTCTGACTGGTGATATGCCTGTAACTCTGGAATCTCCTCAAATTTAGTGACATTAGACCTTTCATCAAATTTGTTGGAAGGATCGACTAGAGAGATACATTTGTAAAACTTCTGAAAATTAAAGGAACTGCGTTTATCTTCAACCAAACTTGTCCTCCTGTTGAACTATAGAGGGTTCTCCATTTTCAGCTTGAATATGTTTTACTCAGCTCCTTTGGAATAGGGCCCAAATTCCGAATGCTGAAAAACCAGAGTTCTGTCAAGGTTATGGACAATGTCAAGGCAGGTATTTCAGATTGGTTCCAAGTTGGTTTTTTTGGGAATTGGAGTCTGCACTCGAATTCCTTGATCTGTCAAACAACTCTTAACAGGAGATGTATCGAACACTTCTTAAATTCCAGCGTCATAAACTGAGTTCTAATTTGTTCAAGGTACTTGCCAAGTGTGTCTTGCAAATGTTGAAATGCTGAATGATTGCCAATAACTCAATTTCTGGAACAGTTTCTCCCTTATTATGTGGAAAGACAAGTGCTACTAACAAGTTAAGTGTGTGATGTCTCAAATAATGTCTTATCTGGTGATCTTGGTCAGTGTTGGGTTCATTGGCAAGCCCCTTGGTGCACTTGAACTTGGGTTCTAACAGTTTTTCTGGTGAAATTCCACACTCCATTGGGTTCTGTCTCAACTTGAGTTCTTGTCGCTAAATGACAACGCTTTCAGAATATATTCCTTACGACCCTGCAAAATTGCTCTACATGAAGTTTATTGACATGGGTAATAACCAACTTTCTGACACAATACCAACTTGGATGTGGGAAATGCATATCTATAGTTCTTCGTTAGATCCAAAATTCAGTGGAGCTTATCAAAAGAGCGTGTCAACTTTCATTC